ATAGTCACAGAGAGTTTCCATGTGCTGGCTCTCACTTAAAGTGTCTGGAAAAGCCAGGGCTGGACCATGCCAAAATTGGTAGCAAGGAATCAGTCCAGATCTTCCACATGCATGGCAGGGACCCTATCACTTGAGCCAGAGTGTGAATCGGCAGAGCTGGTACTTGAACATAGGCACATCAAAACAGGATATAGGCATTCCCAGTCAGCATCTTAACTGCTCAGCCAAACTCTCACCCACAAAAGTATGATTTTACAGGTATATAAATATTACAAATATCATGGTGCTCAGCAGATAAGTTTAATTAGGACCTCATTCTGTTATATAGATTTTGTGATCCCATTTCAAAATCTAGTTAATATAAGGCAGCTAAATTCTGAGTAATTCTTCAAAAAAGGCTCATCTTATCTTGAGAAAGCAATTAAGTAAAAGGAATTACAAGGTGAGAAGAGAGAGGGAAGGAAAGGGAGAGACACAAATGAAGACACACAGAGAGAAGACAGAAAGATAATTGCGAGTTTTTTTTTTTTTTTTTTTTTTTTTTTTTTTTTGACAGGCAGAGTGGACAGTGAGAGAGAGAGACAGAGAGAAAGGTCTTCCTTTGCCGTTGGTTCACCCTCCAATGGCCGCCGCGGCCGGCGCGCTGCGGCCGGCGCACCGCGCTGATCCGATGGCAGGAGCCAGGAGCCAGGTGCTTTTCCTGGTCTCCCATGGGGTGCAGGGCCCAAGCACCTGGGCCATCCTCCACTGCACTCCCTGGCCACAGCAGAGGGCTGGCCTGGAAGAGGGGCAACCGGGACAGAATCCGGCGCCCCGACCGGGACTAGAACCCGGTGTGCCGGCGCCGCTAGGCGGAGGATTAGCCTAGTGAGCCGCGGCGCCGGCCGGTAATTGCAAGTTTTAATGACCTTCTACATCTGCTCCAAATCTAGTCACATTCATGTAAACAATAAATGATGTGGTTCTACACCCAACTGTCTTCTTAGAAAGAAACATGGACTAAATCCTTGGAGTCCTTTTGATATCTTTGACATGTGAATTGATGGGTATAGAGCTGTACACTAATAACTCCCTTCTTGACAGTCCACTCAAGTTCAGACTTCTCTATCCAGTTGCCTGCTCTAGACCTCTGGATGGTAATCCAAATGTGAGGAAGTATGGATATCAACCTGGGCTTCTTGGCTCCTGGTCCACACTTTCCCAAAAAGCAACTCTCCTGGGGTCCTTTTCATCCTTCTCAGCTGATGAACACTCCGTACTTCCAACGGTTCATGTTTTTAAAAAAAAGTCATTTTAATTCTACCTCTCTTTGAAATTCCATATCCTATATACATAGTCCTGTTGTTTCTCACTATGTCTGTTGCTACTACTCAAGATAAAGTCAACACAATCTCTCACTTGGATTGCTGAATCTGCTCTTGACCTTCTTCAGTTTATTCCCAACCAAAGAGCCAGAGTAACTCTCATTAAATAGATATCAGATCAGGTAATTCCACTTCTCAGAACTCCCCAAGATAATAGGTTGAAAATAAAAACCCCAAGCCTATCACGTGCATTTCTTCCCTCTGTTAATTTGTATGATCACATCCTTTTAATACTTTTATTTTCTTATCCTATCAAACCCATAGTCATTCTTGCTGTTTCCTTGAACAGAGTCATCACAGGGCCTTTGCACTCTTTCCATTAGAATGTAGCAACTGGCCGGCCGGCGCCGCGGCTCAATAGGCTAATCCTCCACCTGCGGCACCGGCACACCAGGTTCTAGTCCCGGTCGGGGCACTGGATTCTGTCCCGGTTGCCCCTCTTCCAGGCCAACTCTCTGCTGTGGCCCAGGAGGGCAGTGGAGGATGGCCCGTGACTTCTCTCCATCAAGTCATGGGAGACCAGGAGAAGCACCTGGCTCCTGCCTTCGGATCAGCACAGTGCACTGGCCACAGCACACCGGCCGCGGCGGCCATTGGAGGGTGAACCAATGGTAAAGGAAGACCTTTCTCTCTCTCTCTCTCTCTCTCACTGTCCACTCTGCCTGTCAAAAAATAATTTTTTTTTAATTCAAAAAAAAAAAAAAAAAAGAATGTAGCATCTTCCACTGGCTTCTTCATTTCCCTCGGATCTCTACTTAAATACCACCCTTTTCAGTAGGTTTCCCTGAACACTCTATGTGAAATTGCAATTTCCATCATTCATTTTCCTGTTTCTAGATTTATTCTCCATCATACATGTCATCTAGTATTTCATGTATTTGATTTATGTATATTTTTAGGACAACATTAACTCCACCAGGTTAAGGACTTTTATCTGCTTTATCCATTACTGTTCTCCAATGTCGAGAAAATGTGTTGAAATGAATAAGAAAAAAGAGCAAAGACAGGATCTCACTGCCTTTTTGCAATGCAGGAAGTCTGTTACTTAAATAGTTCTCTTTCTGTTAGCACCACTTTGAGGACTGACCTTATCGGAAAGGTGAGATCAAAGACTCCATGATTATAATCAAATGTTAATTCTTATGCTTATTAAAAAAGATAGAATTTTATAACTAATAAAGCCATTTTAGACAACAATTTTAAGTGTTTCCCCCAATGCATCTTTAAAAAAAAAAGCCCACAATTTTGTTTCTGTGAAATGCACTAATGTTTGCAATTTTCTTGTTACTTTTAAGTATCCCTTAATAGTAAAATTGTTGTTGTTCAGCATTTGTACCCAACTATGAATCACAGTCTATGTCTACATATGTAGTGAGTGCTACCAGAAATACACTGTTGTTATGTAACTCTATTTCTGTAAATATAGTACAAATTTTGTAATTTAAAGGCAAAATTAGACTTCAGCATGTCCAAATGTCACCATCAGCAGTAATTAGTAATTATATTAGCACACTGAGAATTAATTGATAAAGAACCAATTATATTGTTAAATCATGGCAAATTATTAGCTGTATTTCAAGAAACACATTTTATGCCATTAACAACTGACAGAAGTTGTGAACAGCAACATTTGCAACATTTTTTTTTAAATAATGATCTCTGAGAAACCTACTTTTAGTTTCCTGTTCATTGAAGAATCATTCATGTAACATTTGCCTCATCTCTTTCATGTGTTACTCATTTTTTGCAGTAAGAATGATAATGATAATTTCAAAGTCCAGGAATCATCATTAAATCTAATAACACAGCATTGTCCTCATATATTGCATAAACTTAGTTGTGTTATGGAGAAAATATTTATACCATATACATCCAATAATATAGAATGGAGAGTTATATATTGACACATTCTGAAAACAAAATACTTTATGCTGCATTTAGTTAAACACTTGATTTGCAAATAAAATAGCTCTTTTTTTTTTAACATTCCTTAATGTCAAGAAGTGGTTTCTTTTTTTTTTTTTAAAGATTTATTTATTTATTTGAAAGGCAGAGTTACAGAGAGATTGAGGCAGAGAGAGAGAGAGAGAGAGAGAAGGTCTTCCTTCTGCTGGTTCACTCTACAGATGGCCACAATGGCAGAGCTGTTGCAATCCAAAGCCAGGAGCCAAGATCTTCTGGGTCTCCCATCTGGGTGCAGGGGTCCAAGGGCTTGGGCCATCTTCTGATGCTCTCCCAGGCCATTAGCAGAGAGCTGGATTGGAAGTGGGGCAGCCTGACTTGAACTAGTGCTCATATGGGATGCTGACACTGCAGGCAGTGGCTTTACCTGACACGCCACAGTGCCGGCCCCATAGCTCTCTTAATATAAATAATATTTTGAAAATTGTCTATTAAAGTTTATGCTAGATATTGTTTTTCAAGTTCCTGTTTACATCAATTATGAGTAGAACTCATGTAGAAGCTGTATAAAAAAGTCTTCATTTATTTTACTATTAGATAGAAACTTTTCTACTAGAACCAGTATAGATTATTTTCTTTTAATTTGAGAAACCACTGGGATAAATTAAAAAAAAAAACAGTCCTGCTAAATTTTATATATATTTTCTGAAAATATGATCAATGAAAATGTCTTCACACTTAAAAGTTTGTAACTTAACAGAAAGTTATAAATGGTATCCCCTTAACACAACTTTAGACTTTTCAATTCTGTACCAGGTTCTCCATAACAAAGATTGAGCAAAAAAAAAAAAAAAAAAAAAAAAAGTAGGTCTTTCACAGCAGATCTTTCTTAGAAAAGTTATGAATATATACACATACGTATCATGAAAATACAGAAAACATTATTTATTTTTTGACTCAGGTAAAACAATACGAAGATGTGTGCAAACCTAAGATAACAAATCAAACACACTGAGCTCTCTGTACAATGGATAATGAATGAATTCTATGAGCCCTGTACATTATAATCTCAACGCTTCTTTAGGATTCTGCCATGCACTCTAGTAGAGTCATCACAGGAGAAGCAGGATGGCCAAAGAGATACTTTAAGTCCAAAAATTATTTTCCTCTGTTCAGCTGTTAAGCTACCTCTCAGGAAACCAATAATTCATGAACTGAAATTAAGCAAAATGACTCAATTATGTGGTTTTATGTTCCAATTCCTGTACTTGCTTTTTAAAAGCATGTTAAAAATAATTTCACTCCTTAGAAGTCAGCAAGAGAATAACCCATCCACAATGGAATTTGCTAAGTGTGGATTCATGGCCTTGTAATCTGAATTGTGCCCTCTGGAGTTCTTGCGACCAAAATAGTTAAAGTATAGTGGTTATGGAAAATTCTGCAGTCCCCTGAATGCATGAATTTAAATGTGATTTCACATGACAGTAGAATTACAGAGATGGTAGAAAGCCAGAGACAGAGTCAAATGAAAATATTCTGTCCCTGCAGTATCTAATGGTGATCATGAAAAATACAAATCTGCCATATTTCAGAACACCAGGAAATAAATAAGAGGTTTAGAGTTCTCGTATTTTGGCATATAACATATATCTGGAGCACTAAGAGTAAAGGTTATAAGGGAATAGAAGGTTTTCCTGACACAAAATCTTCAGGGACATTTGGGATAAGGGTAGAGGGGGTATGGAAAAAAAAACTAACTACTCTGCTTTTTACCACAACTTGGAACTATGAAATCAAGAGATCTTGCCCATAAACATAAACACATAGATATGTTCACTTTAATAATCACCAAGTTCTCTAAAGTGATCTTGAGTTGCATGGCTAGATTTAAGAATGAAAATAGCCTCCATTTTCCCTTAATGTGCCATACTGAGCACATACAAATTCCAGGCTTATGATGAAATATTTTCCATATATTTTCCAATTTCTAATGTGAACCATTAAGATAAATGCTAATATTACTTAGATAAAACAATCTTTAAAAATATACCTGGCCAGAGCTTCAGACACAGGACTTAATTACATGGCTCTCTGACATCAAAGTTCCTATTCTTATCATTTATACTTTCATAAATGGTAATCTGTCTTAGCACTTTATCAATTTATAATAAATATCTTGGTGACAGAAAGGAAATAATGATCTTTTGGTATGTTCCTGAAAGTTCCCAGGTGTGCCATGGCCTATTTATGATTCTCTATTGAGAATCTTTCTCAATGAACAGGAAATCTTATGTATGGTCTGAGATGGCAAAGTAATTTTTATAAAATAATAATTTTAAAAATAATGACCATGAAAATATAATCATAAAAACAGAGAAATGTGACATAAAACTTTGCCAATCATAATGTGTAATATAGAGAAAAGTAGAAAATGATGAATAAATTAGTACATGCAATCTGTAGAATAGATTTCTAGCCAACACTGCAATATAAAAAGGCCATAGTAAATTTTAAAAACCTCAGGAAAAGCAATCAGTAAGATCTTAAAAGCAAACTGAATCAATTCATTTAGAAACTAAAAAGTTTATATCAGTTATAAATCATATATTGAAAGAAGTAAATATGAAATCATTCCACAAATAAAAGAAAATTTATAAAGTCACTTTATCTCCAAGGAGCCATAGCTGACATCCAGCAAATATGATAAGAAAATATATTACAGCAATTAAAAGATTCAAGCAGCTACACTGATAGGTGATTCTTTCTCTAGGAGAAATGAACTAATATCCCCTGAAGATTAAAAAAAAAATGAATAAGAGAAATGGTTACTAAGTAGCTACATGACATTGTGTCAGTCTCTCCAAGATTTCATTTCTTCTAAGACTCATTTTCTCAACATTCTACTAACATTTCATATACTACAGTTTTATAGAATATTCTTTGCCTTTTTGCTGACACATGGGGAGAAAGTGTTAGCGTTGACACACTAAGATGCAAACCATATTTGTCTATAAATCTTAAAATAGCAATGTCAAAAACATAACTGAATGGCGAAACCTTTCTCAAACAAAAGAGGCTTTAGCACATTAAGACAATCAGAACAATGTGAATACTTCATCATTAGTGAGAGCAGACAAAGAATGAAGATAAGCACAGCACACTAGACACAAGCGTAGAATGGAAGCCAGGCAAATTCAAGGTTACAAATATAAGCACAGGAGTAAGGACAGATAAGAGTGGGTCAAAGTCTGAGTAACTCAGAGATTACAAGTTCAGACACTAGAGTAAGCCCAGAGATCCCAGGCTCACATAAAAATACAGACTGACTACAAAGCAAACCAGACGATCTCAGCATAAGATACATAACCATAAGGTTGTCAACAATTAGATCCATAAACACTGCATAAAAAGCAAAAAGAAGGTAAAAGAAGATATGTATGGTGCCCATGCTTGGTGGTATTTATGTATAATTCACCCCGTAAGAAATACTCCTAAGCAAATCTGTCCTAGAGAGTATAAGGAGATTGCTAAACACAGCGGTCCACTCAAGGTCTGTAAGATACATGCATTTTCTTTAACTTTCACCTGCTTGCAAGCTGGAGTAGTGCACATCAAATGTAGAGTTCTCAATAAGGCATAAACCTGGTTCCAAAATCTTATGGTGGTTTATGTAGACAAATTTTAGTTCTAAGAGTTATAATAACTTGTATTCTACTTTAATTTATAAACAGAAGGCTCTAAGAAGCGATAAGCCTTTTAACCTGTGCTACTGAAATACTTTGTGTAAAAACTTAAGAAAACCAGGAAAGTTGGTCAAAAATAGGTTTTTAGGAGAAACTCATTCTGTGACCCACTTTGCCTAAATATGCCACTCCTCCTGCAAAAAACTCTATTCTCTATTGAGTATTCAAATGCCTTTATAAGTTGCATAACATTCCATATTCAGGTTAGTGCATACCTCTTAGGCTTGATTCTCTAGGAATTAGCCACCTTGTTCTTTAAATGTAGAAAACACCACACAGCACGTAGTATATAGCCTTTTGCCCACATCACTCCGTTTCTTTCCTCCATACCCTTTCTTCTATTGTTCACAATAATTGGAATACCTCCTCCTCCTCTTTATTTGATTATCTTATTTTTCCTTTAACAGTTCATAACTATCAACTTCTGCAGGAAGCCACTCTGACATTTCACTTACATCATTCCCTGGTTTATTGGGGGACTGACTCAATCATTAGCTCTGCTTACATAATATTCTAAACATAACTTTAGCACTGTACATCACATTATTTTATAAACATATGTTTGCACCTGTTTTACATTTATAAAGCTAACTCTACAGTTACTCCTTATTTTCTTCTGGAATTGGGGACACAATTCAGGTAACCTTCACCAGCTCTCCCAGGTGTGTGCAAAGGATCCAAACATGTAAACCATCACCTGCTGCCTCCCATGGTACACGTTAGAAAAAAGCTGAAATTCATAGTGGAGTGAACACAGTCACTTTAACCTGATTTGCAGTTAGGTAAAGAGGGATTCCAACCATTGCACCCAATGCCAGCTCCATGAAGGCACTTTTGCTGTTTGCGTTCCTGCTGTTTTGAAAACCAGAGTGGGCATAACCTTTAGTGCAGAACTAGTTAAAGGTTATTTATTGCTCATCTGAGAAATGTTTCAGTCCCTTTTATCATGTTCTAAAGCAGAGTTAAACAATAACAAAAATTATGAGGGGAACAAGCGATGATTTCCTTCCAGAGTGTGCTTGTGAAACTTTCTGATAATAATATATCTGAATGTAAAATACTCAAATAGATTTTTTTAATTTATATTCCTAGTAAATTTACATGTTATACACAATATTAAAAATATTATGTAGCTGGGGCTGGCACTGTGGTACAGTGGGTTAAACCCAGCCTGTAGTGCTAGCCTCCCACATGGGCACCGGATGGAGTCCCGGACGCACCATTTCTGATCCAGCTCTCTGCTATGGCCTGTGAAATGAGTAGAAGATGTCCCAAGTCCTTGGGCCCCTACACGTTCGACCCAGAAGCTCCTGGCTCCTGGCTTTGCATTGGCTCAGCTGTGGTTGTTGAGGTCATTTGAGGAGTGAACCAGTGGATGGAAGACCTTTGTCTCTCCCTCTCTCTGTAAATCTTTCAAATAAACAAACAGACAAACAAACTATGTAGCTACACTTGTTAAATTATTATTATCTATCAGGTGTTTTCCTCTAATTTTTATGAATGATTAACACAGTCCTTTAAGGCAGGCAACACTCTTATTTTATACATAACACATAAAGTTCAATTCCTCATCAAAGTAAATATAAGTAAATGAATACTGAACATGAAAAACCAAACTATTATTTGCAGATGTTATGATTACCTGCATAGGAAATCCTAGAGATTCAAGTTAACCATTAGAATTAACAAGATTGCTCAATATCTTGACAGAAAGAAGATAAATATAAAAAAATAGGCTTCTATTTCAAAATTAAGGGATTAAAGTATTATTCACAATAATATACAAAGTAATAAACTTCCTAGCAATAAATTTAATGACATGCATAAGTAAGTGTATAAATAAGAAATACATAAGTGTATAAATTTTATTGAATAAATAGAGTAAAAAATGTTAGTGACAATACTGTGATACATCAGCTAGCTATCTGGAAATCTATAAATTTAATGCAGTTGCAATCAAAATTACTTTTTGACAGTCTTGGAAGAGGAATATAAGGATTTGATACAATCATCAAATCAGAAGAATTGCTATTCATGAAGAGCTATTAAATTCTTGAAAAGTTAAATATTGTGATACTGGCCAAAATCTCAGAGTATTGAAACAGAATAGAGAATCAGAAAATGATTTATGTCTATATAGAAATTAAAAATGATAAATGCAGCATTTCAAATCAGTGAGAAACACTGCACTTTGCAATAAATTGTGTTAGAAAAACTGACTGTCCTATTGATATTCAGAGAGCTCAAGTAACTATTCATGGGTTACACAGAAAGTAAAAAGGCTCTAGATTTGATCTGTAAAGAAAACTTTCTACACTGAGCTCCACTACTCCTGTAAGTCTGCCTTAGCGAGGTCTTGTTAGTACTTACTGAGATAGAAGGCTCAATTTCACAAACGAGCAAAATGATACCAGCCCAGGAAAAAGACTACTTTAAGTCTATCCTGCCAGGCATAATGATGCAAGAACTACTCCTTTAATAGGTATCTTATCCTCATCCAAATCTAAATAATTCTGACTCATTTTCACATTGGTTATAAAATTTGTAACTTTAATTTTTAGAATTTCCTATTTGTTCACAAAAATTATAGACACTTGATCTTAAATTATACACTACACACCAACAATTCCAACTATAATAAAATGTATTCATCTTTAAATCTACTAATCTATAAAGCAGCTGAAAGTCATGAATCTATGGGTTCATAGATACGTTTGCCTCCTACTGAAAACATGTTCCAAGGCAGACAACTTGGATATGAATATTTACATAATATATTACATGTGTAGCTTTTGTCTGTCAATTTAAAATTGTCCTTTATTTTAAAATGAATTATTCCTGAAGGAATAAAACTTGCACTATATTGGTATGCATGGCTATGAAGAAAACAGAATAATATGATAAGAGAGTTTCTGGGGGTGAGAACATTTGGGTTTAATAGGAAACATTAGGGAAAGCCTTCTTGGAAAAGTAAGTTTATAATATGATAAGAGAGTTTCTGGGGGAGAAGGTTTAATAGGAAACATTAGGAAAAACCTTCTTGGAGAAGTGAGTTGAGAATGAATTCTTACTAGATGTAAGGAATCATCCCAAGACACAAAGAGTGTTCAAAAATAAAAAAGTGCAAGTATAAAAACTCAGAGATTTGAAAAAAAAAAAACAAAGGACAAAACAGGCAAATATTATAGCATGGAGAATTGAGGATGGGGAGATGTGCTTGAGGATAATGCTTCAGAGAAATACTGAACAAATGAAATTTGGTGCCCTGCAAGATATGAAAATGAGTTTGAAATTCAGATAAAATCCAAAGAGGAGTCAAAAGAGGATTTGTGTGCATCGTATATAACAGGACTATAGTAACTTCATTATTTCAAACTTCATCAAAGAGAAGTGAATGTCCAAAATTACCAGATTATGTGGAAGTCTAACTTATCTTCCATTTTACAAAAAAAGAAAAACTCAGCAGATTTAGACTGCATGTGCATCAATAGTTTTTATAAAATCTGGTAATCTTACCATTGAAAAAATATTATTTTCAGTTAGTTAAAACAGAGATTCAAATATTGAATGGGACTTATAATTAATAAGGCTAATCCATGTATTTCTATATATTTGAAAGGTGGCATGAAGAGTTAATAGAGCATTGCATTTTATCAGGGAAGAAAGTCCATACAAAGGAAAGAGTTTAATAGGTAGCAACTTTTTTAAAAGGCATAATAATGCACTCCTTCTTGTTTCCACTTAATTCTGCCAATCTCTCTCACAAAGAGCTTTTCTTTCTCATGCAAAAATGTGACTATTAATCTAAGAAGGACTAATAATAACATTTTCCAAGAAATACGTAAAGATGCCCACCATTTCTGTTACTAGATACTATTTTTAGCATGGAATATGTTTCTGAAAAAATCATTCGCAGCTTTCTTCAAAAGTCAAGAGAGTCATCCCGAATATCTTGTCTTTCATGTGTACACACTTAATCATATTTGGGAGAAAGAATTAACAAAATAAGCATTATGGTAAAGTTCTGAGTTATGCAAGTAGTATGAAAATGTTTAAATATTTTAATATATATTCCAGAAATATGCCAAATCAAGTACAAAGCTAATTTTCTGTTACTTACATAGTTCACTAAAATCTAACTTCATAAAATATGCATATTTGGGCATATTCAACATGTGTTTAAGCATTCTACAACGTTTATGCAAGTTACAGACATTTATTTCTTCAACACTGGCTTTTAAACTGCCAAAATCCTCTACTGTGTCTTAATTATTCTCACATGTTTATCTGAAACCTTTCATAGAAAAATTAAATTCTTCAGAAATGGTTACTGAGTGGAATTGACTCACACTAGCATTTGTTGTAAAGTAGAATTCAATATCTAGAATGTGATATTAAACTCTTGTTTCAGAATCAAATCCAATAGCTTCAGAGATATTTGTAATTGAAATATTCAAAAGAATTCATCATTAAAAAGGTACACTTGGCCGGCGCCGCGGCTCACCAGGCTAATCCTCCACCTTGCCGCGCCGGCACACAGGGTTCTAGTCCCGGTCAGGGCGCCGGATTCTGTCCCGCTTGCCCCTCTTCCAGGCCAGCTCTCTGCTGTGGCCACGGAGTGCAGTGGAGGATGGCCCAAGTGCTTGGGCCCTGCACCCCATGGGAGACCAGGAGAAGTACCTGGCTCCTGCCATCAGATCACCGTGGTGCGCCGGCCACAGCGCGTTGGCCGCGGCGGCCATTGGAGGGTGAACCAATGGCAAAAGAAGATCTTTCTCTCTGTCTCTCTCTCTCACTGTCCACTCTGCCTGTCAAAAAAAAAAAAAAAAAAAAAAAAAAAAGTACACTTAACATATGGTCTCATTATTATGATGTCTAAAATAATATTATAACATTCCAGGTTGCAGGCATACTTTAAAGGAATTTTTGCATGTCAAAAAATAATGATTTAAATGCATTTGTCAAACCTAAATCTTTGTCCCTGTTTCATGTACCCAACAGAGTGGAATTCCAAAGGAAAAGACTGGAAGAGATATGCATATGAATTTGGTATCAGAATACATTCCCCAAAATGTCAGTGTGATTAAGAAAATCAAGCTATTTCTAAACTGTTGTTAAAAGACTCATTTTGGTCTCACATTTGCTAATCACTTAAGATGTTACAGAACACCACTATTTGTTACCTACAAAGCAAAAGAACAAATGAATAAACTGTACCCAGCCATGTGTATAATCCTCCCTCAGTTGATCCTCAGTAAATTGTACCATGTTGGGAGTGTGGCTTTTTCTGCCTCTTCTCTGTAATATATAAAAGGTATTAACTTTCACTTAAAAGGAAAATAATGAAAGAAAAAAAAGCAGCTTCTGTTTGTACATAAACACGGAGCATAGAGATTCTACACTGCATCCTAGGAGAAGCCAGGGAACCAAACTAATGAGCTTAAAACCTCAGAAATTGTGTCTGTTTCAACTACTTGAAAACAGTTCGCTAAAAATGTTCGTGCATGGTACTAGCATATTTTCCTTTGTAATATGTGCTTCTTTGTTTCTCTATCCCAGATTTTTGTCTTTATTCTAATTGCTATTATGTTCTTTGCTTGAGATTTTACAGCTTCATTCTCCGATACTCCCAGATTCTCTTTCTATTTGGATTTTGTAGCTTGTGGTCACTGAGGTTACATTTGCTTTTCCTCTTTGATGTTTAGCTTCATTGCCTCAAACTTTTCTTCACACTGAATGCATATTAGGTCATTTATCTCTTCATATTTCTTTTCAGACTAAGTGCAGATCGTCTATGTATATTTTGTTGCTTTTTCTTTCCTTTCAAAACAAGTGTAGTTTCTCTCATTTTCCCCTAAATCATTAAAATGTGCAGATAGATTTTCCTAGTGCTCCTTTTCTCTTCATTACAGAACAGCATCACTATGTTTTGCCTTGAAAGATATTTATCCACCAATTTACTGTATCCTGAGAATGTACTTCCAGTTTGTCATGAAATCAAATGTACATTAGTCAACTAAAGCTGTTATAGAAGAATTATTTTACTTCTAGTGATGAACAGCAATGGACATCTGATTTTTTTCTATTTTAAATTTTTTAACTGATACATAAAAATTGTACTTAATAGAAGCTAACATGAAATGTCTTGATACATGTATATATTGTGTATTGCTCAAATGAGGCAAATATATCTATCACAAACATTTTTCTTTTTCTTGTGAAATCATTCAAAAACAGAGTCTCCAAGTTTTTTTTAATATATAGTACATTATTGTTATCTACAGTTACCCTACTATGCAATGGAACACCAGAATTTCTAAACATAGTACCCATTGATCAATCTTTCCCCATCTCTCCCTCCCTTCTCCCTTCTCCCTTGCTAGTCCATGTGGTAACTGCCGTTCTACTCTCAACTTTTAGATTTCAAATCTAACTGAAATCATGTAGTACTTGTCTTTTGGTGCCTCGCTTATTTCCCATACACAAATACTTCGAATTTCATGAATGTTATCACAATGACAGGATTTCATCCATTTGTTAAGGCTGAACAGTATGTCATTGCGTATGGATCACATTTTCATTACTCATTTATCAGTTGATGGATGCTGAGGTTATTGCCATTTCTTGTGAATAAAGTGGCAATAATCATGGGTGTGCAGATGTCTCTGCAATAAACTGGCTTCATCTTCTTTTTGTATACACCCAGTAGTGGTATTATAAGATCATATGTCAGTTTAATTTTTTGAGGAACCTCCATACTGTTTCCCACAATAGCTGTACTAATTTATATCCTCACTAACAATGTGTAAGCATTCCCTTTTCCTCAATAGGACTTGTTATCCTTTGTCTTTTTTTTTTGATAATAGCACTTCTCAGTGGAGTGGGTGGTATCTCTTTGTTGTTTTGATTTATATTCCCTGACAATAAAAGATATTGAGCATTTTTTCATGGATCTCTGGTCATTGTATGACTTAATTCAAGGAATATCTGTTTAGATTTATTGCCCATTCTTAATTGGATTATGTGTACTGTTTTGCTTGTTTTAGCTACTGAATTGAATACTTTACATATTCTGGTTATTAACCTCTTGTCAGACATGTAGTTTGCAAATATTTTCTCTACTGTGTAGATTATGTCTTCATTCTCTTGATTGTTTCTTTTCTATGAATAAGTGTTGTGTGTTACAACCCCATTTGTCTATTGTGCTAGTTTTCCTAGGTTTTATGGTCCAATTAAAACATAAATAAATAAATAAAACTCCTATTCCAAAGTCCTTAAGCACCTTCCTGTGGTTTCTTGGTTTCTGGTTTAACATTTAGGTCTTCAACTAAATTTGAGCTCATTTTTATACATTGTGAGAGACAAGGGTCAAGTTTCTTCTGCATGTAGATTTTCAATTTCCTAGTATCATTTATTGAAAAGACCATTCTTTCCAATGTATTTTCTTTGCACCTTTGTCAAACATAAGTTAGATGTAGATGCATGAGTTTATTTCTAGGGTCTCCTTTCTATCCTATTAGTCTATATAGCTGCTTTTATGGGAGTATCATGTACTAACAGCCTTTTATAATATTTTGAAATCAAAGAGTATAATACCTCCTACCTTGTTCTTTTGTTTTGGCTGTTCAGAGTTTTTGTGGTCTGATGGGAACTTCAGGATTACTTTTTCTGCTTCTCTGAAGAATATAATTGCCATTTAGACAGGGACTGTATGTAACATGTAGACCACTTTGTAGACCTTTTAACAATATGAACAATGGAATGACTTCTGAAATTTTGATGCTGGAAAGAGGTACAAAATTCACTGTCTATTTTTGACAACTTATGATGAAAACTACCATAATTTCTACAATAACAAGTAAAATGTATTGAAAGAAAATGTTAATTGAATTTGCATTTGTCTTAAGTGATTTAGCCTGCATTTCATTATATAGCTCTCCCCAAAGGAGATGATGATCAATATCACCATAAATTATAATCGCTACTATATTTATCCAACATTATTTAAATATATGAGCATTTCACATTTTTAAATAATGCTTTTACAATACTACCTTTTGTATTTACCTAAGCTTCTTGACTATATTAATTATTCACAGTGCATCAACTTATTTATTTATCTAAAGGCAAAAGAGATACTGAGAGAGATCTCCCATCCACATCTGGATGTCCCACACAACTGGCAAAGACTCAATTACATGGGCCTTTATCTACTGCTTTCCTAGGCCCATTTGCAGAACACTGGATCAGAAATGGAGCAGTCAGGTGTCAGCAGTTTAATGCACTGGGCCACAATACCAGTCCCCACAGTACATTAACTTTTGAAACAGAAGAGTAAAGAAAGTATCAAATTCTGGCTGGCGCCGTGGCTCACTAGGCTAATCTTCCACCTGCGGTGCCGGCACACCAGGTTCTAGTCCCAGTCGGGCACCAGATTATGTCCCGGTTGCTCCCCTTCCAGTCCAGCTCTCTGCTGTGGCCCGGGAGTGCAGTGGAGGATGGCCCAAGTGCCTGGGCCCTGCACCCGAATAGGAGACCAGGAGAAGGCACCTGGCTCCTGGCTTCAGATCACCGCAGTACACGGGCCGCAGCGGCCATTGGTGGGGGGGGAGGTAAACCAACGGAAAAGGAAGACCTTTCTCTCTGTCTCTCTCTCTCTCACTGTCCACTCTGCCTTTTCAAAAAAAAAAAGTATCAAATTCAACCTACTGATCCATATGACATTTACAGTATAAAATATCCTCATATAGATACCAGATATAGATGAATACTTCCCATTATCACAAATTTTATAGTTACAATCTTTTATAATTAATAATACATTCACAAAAGACACTGGCTGTAGATTTGTGATATAGGTATTTTGTATAAAAATATTATGATATCTCCCCTCACTTTTTCTTCCATTCAAGAAATCACTAGCAGAATGAGAGTAAGTTTTGGGAATAACTTTGCCTTTACAATAATTTATTTTAAAAGAAGTAAATTGTTTTTAAAAAATCTGGTTACAGATTATTTGTGACACACTTCAGAAGTAATCATGATGTGCTGGTGTCTCATAACCCTGGGAACTGTTAATCTGGGGTTTTATTTCAAACCCTACAGGATGTTGACAGATTCTGGCTACATCAAAGTCCTTGTGGCAGGCAAAATGATGACATCTGAAAACAGTCATGCCTCAGTCTTCAGAATGTGTGACATTATTACCTGACATGGCAAAAGGGATTTTTACAGTTATGGTGAAGTTCAGATTCATTAAATGGGAGATGATCCTAGATTATCTAGGAAAGTCCAATATAATCACAAGGGTCCTTTTATGGAAAGAAAAAGGCAGGAAGGTCAGAATTGGAGAAGATGCGAGTACAGAAGCAGAGGCTGGAGTGATGACATTGCTGGCTGTGGGCCACAAGCTAAGGAACACAGCCAGCCACTAGAAGCTGGAAAAAAAGAAATGGGTTCCTCCCTAAAGCCTCACAAGGAACACAATTCTGCAAACACACTGATTTCAGTCTAGTCAAACCCATTTTGGAAATTCTGGCTTCTAAACTGCTGCAATCAAAATTAGTGTTGTTTTAAGCCACTAAGTTTTTAGCATATTGGTATAGCAAGACTGAGAAACCCATAGTCTTCAAATCAGTGACAGCCTACGAGTAGATAGCTAATATGTCTTATGAATAACCGAGTCACTGTCTGGAAAGAATGTAGTTGACAGGGTTTAGTTACAGAGTTAATGCAGGGATATATTAGCCAAGAAAAAAAAAAAAAAGCAAGGCAAGAAAAAATACCTTATGGCAATCAACATTTGCAGATCTATCTTGGATGGAAAGATGCTTAACTGACTACTTCCTTCACCAAATCAGAATATCAGGGTTTTTTTTTTTTCTCCCAACTGCTCAAAGGACTACTAATCTTAGTAAATAAGAATGTGTGAAAATTTGGGCAGTTTAAAAGAAAAACTGGTTAAAAAAAGAATATGAATAAATGATATTATTTCCTTTAAGAAAAAATCCAACTACATTTTTAATTACTTTATTTTTAGCTACTTAGTAATTTTAACTTATTATATCTACTGCAATTGTGATTACCACTTCTACTTAAAACCACCTCTAGGTAATGAAACTGACCACTTCCAAATACTTAGATCAATATCAGCCTCTCACAGTTCCATTCTTCTATTTTCAAAAGTGAGGATTCTCCTTCTTCAGGTCTAAATTTTAAATTTTTTTTATAATAATTCAGTGTAAATTTACAGCAACAGCACAAAACGTTTTTTTCAAACACAAAATTATATAACATAGTTTTATACTTAAAAATATTGCATTAATTTTGTGTTGTATTTTTCTCCAGGAATTCTTAAATCAAAACACATGTTTTAAAACAAGAAAATGTTGTTGTACATGATGTCATATACTGGCTGCACATCATTTATGTAAATAATGAATTTATAAGTATACAACATAAACTCTAAATTCACAATATACAAATCTCTGCTGTATATGAAAAGGTAAACAGATGTGGAGAAATTGTCTGCTGCTGTCTAGTCTCCATATATTTAAGGATGACCAACAGAGGTGAGCAATCATTCTTCTTATATGATACTAGAAAAATATCCAAAAGAAATTCTAAGATATTTGCAAGCACTAAGAAAAATGTTGCCAATCATAGCCCTGTTTGCTTATAGATTAGTAAAATCTACATGGATTACGTTATCTAACACTATATACTTTTATATTTAATAACCACACTTAAAAATATAACTATGAAACATATAGAAGTTGTCTATGTCTACATTAACTAAGGAAAAAGATTATCCATTTGTTTTGATAAAAATATCAAACATCACTACTCTGTTAATCAACAAATATTAAATTGAGTGAGTCTTATTTCTAAGGCATTCTAATTTGCAGTGGAAAGTAGAGGATGATGAATATTTAAAACAAAGAAAAATAATGGAAGGAACAATCTTTTTATCTCATAGTTGGAGGAAAGATCATGAAAATATGCATATCAATACTATTGTTGGCGACTATGACAAAGACAAGATTGGTGAATAAATCACAAATTTTCTGTGGACAAGTTGAGGAGTATTTCCCAAAAAAAATATGATACTTGAATATAAATATGATATGTAAAATTATAAATCAAGAATTAAGGTTATTTGACATTAAATTGATTAGAATTCAGTGACTTAAAATCCTCTACCAGAATTGACTGAATTGATACAACCATAGCCTAGTCCTTTGTAAGGGTCTCTGTATCTTCAGCTAAACCACCCATCAACAGTTTTTTATGCAATAAAACTCAAATTAAATATTAATCAGTAAACTGGGGATTAAAGTGAGTAGCTTTGCTATTTCTCATTGCACTCATTAATAAACTTAATATTGTAATGAACACACATCTAGTTTACCTCCAATAGTGTTCATTAACTAACCCAATTGTTATATATAAAGAAGTTAAAGCAAAACTAGAGGACACATATTTTAAGAAATTCACCAACTTCAAAAATTATTAACTACAGTGTTCAAAGTAGTGCCCCAATATTTTTCAACATTTAACTACAGCTGACTACTTCAACCATGTAGTAAAATACTATACTTCAGACTTAAATGTACATTCCTTTCATTTCTGTCTAGTTGCTACAGGGCACAGCTATTCATATCTACAAAGCCCAGTGGATTTACATGTGAGGAGAGACTGGGTTGAAATGAAGGTTGCATCACAAGAGAAAGCATGGGGCACAATAGAAGAGAACAAGAGAACGATTGTCTTTCATACATTACATGGACTGTGAGTGTCCATTTCTTTTTCAGATATCTATCAGGGGCAGTTACTATCATTCTTTTTGTTGTAGAAAATAAATGGATAGGGGTGGGGAAAGATGTCATGAGTAGGGGAGAAAGTTATGTGTGGAATGAAGGGGGAGGATGATAGGACGGAATAACTTACCAAGGTTCTTTAAATCATGCAAGTTTAATGACCTTGCACATTTTATTCACACATACACTGTCTCCAACCTTCACAGAGACTTAAAGACTCGTAACTATGCCAGAATCTTCTAAAAGATTAAAGTGTAATGTTTTTAAAACTCATTTGAAACAATTAAAAATTAAATGGGTCAGGACTTTGAATCCTTTGTATATGAAGAATTTGTGTATGTAATTCAAATTTATTTCAAAATTACAAATGTTTCCCAAATCACTATATACATCCAAGTGTGTAAGTGCATATGACTTAAAAACCAAGAACAAATTTAGCTCTCCTAGTCAATATAAAATCAGTGATGTCTTTACAGGAATTTGCGGAATGATATTATGAAACGATATTCTCTCTTTAATTGGAGAGAAAAAAATTTGTTATCATTTTAACAAATTCAGACTTAACAATTTAAAAAAAATTTGAAAATGTGTACACACACTGTTTATAAAAAACAGAATTTAGAATGAGCATTTTTAATCATTTCCTGGGATATAAACTTACTCTAAGTTTTTAGTCATTTGTTCCATGAACTCCACTCTGCATGAAGGCTCTACATAGTTGAAGCACTAAAACACTAGAGCTAAAACGTTGGAAACAGTTCATAAGACCAAAATAACTCAGCAAAAGTTACAATTATTTTTATTCAGAAAAATATGAAAGGCAACATTACTAACATTTCTAAAAAAATCACATACTTTGTATTAGAAAAATTTAATTATCTGCTATATTTGTTCATTTTTCTTATTGAACAAACAAACTAAACTGGGATAAAAGTTATGCTAAAATTCTCTGATTTTTCTAGCTGTGTTGCTTGGGGCAAATAATTTAATGACTCAGAGCTAAATATCTTCAACTAGGAAACAGGAATTGTATCTACTTACCTATAGGGTTGTGGTTAGGACTACTGTGACTAAAATAAGTGTTCCATGGTGATACAAAGTATCAAGCCTAACACTCTGCTAGTTTCTACACCTTCTTTTCCCTCCCACTCTCAGACGAACTCTAAAGGTCTATTTTGAAAAGAAAGAGGATTTGTCCCCACTTGAGTCCATGAGACAAAAGAAGATAAACAAGGGACATAGGAATATAAAAGCAGTATAAACTCCTTTTGCAATCAATAATTGTGATATGCAACAATACATACAGGTCCATATTGACTGATTGCACTTATTGGTAAAACGAGCAGGAGAATTTCCAAAACCAAATTTCATATGAATAAAATTGTACTTCTAAAGTTCAGTGTATTTTTAAAGATAAGGTGCTCATTTAAATATATTTATTTCTCTGATGTCAAACATATTTGATATTAAAATAATTTCCATTCTTGTGAGATTTATAGTAATTTGTAACCTCTAAATATAACAAAATGGGTATGCTTATTAATGTATTCATATTATATTAGGGCTTTTTGAAAATTAAAGTTTAAAAATATTTTATATAGTATAAACATTGCCAAAAGAAATCAAGAAATAGATATGTAGAAAGACAATATAATTAAACTAATGTTATTAACACATCAGACAACTCTGACATCCAGACAGAGCATTAGAGAAAATATTTTATGACTTCTTTCCAGAATCATTGTGTACATGAGTTTAGATTCTATATGTCAACAGAAACAATATCATCTTCCTAAATATCTATAACTTACGGTGGTGGGGCACTGGGAAGCTGACAATTTGTCTTCTTTTCCACTGAGAAGACAGACTAAGATGATTTCTCTTTCACATGCCCCAAAACATGCTGTCAGGCTGAAAGATTCAATGAATGCTTAGCATGAAAAAGTCAACTGAAAATGGTGGCTATTATCTAAGGAATTTTTTGCCCCTCTGCACTGATATATTTGTAAGAAAAAAATTATTCATGAATAACAGACATTGTCAGAATTTGAATAAAAACATGAAAACTTTTGATATTTGAGCAACTGTAGGAAGGTAAACATTGTTTCTGCAATAAAAATATTTAATTTGACTCTAAGATACTTAAGATACTATCTAATATTTCACATGAGTATTTATTGAGAACTCTTCATTAATTAAAATGTCCCTTTCTAGTAGCTATAAGCACAATTTATAAACACTAAATTCCATTCCTAGTAATAGCAGCAACTAGGGGTACTGTAATCAGGTATTGTGGAGAGCACACCAAGTAACTTTATAACTTTAGTAACTCATTCTCACTCTCTGGGTCTGTTTCCATGTCAACAAAATGAAGCAGTTGGATTCAAGTTTTGTTAAGCCCTGTTTTGATACTGCAATTCTCTTTTTTATTTTTCTTCTTTTTTTGTAATACAAAACTTTAGGGCAAAAGATCATCATCTCAGGGTATATCTCAGAGAGAAAAATATGTGATATACATTCTAAAACAACGAGACGTATTAGTATCAAAACATGTAATATTCACATAGCATGGCAAATGCAAAGTTAATAAAGTCCAACTGGCTAGGAAAAAACTCTTGATTCTCCCTCCTCTGGGGGTTAATTCATAATTTAATGGACTTGGCTTCTGTATTTTACTAATTTTATTTATTTACTTAAGTGGTGACAAGATAGAGAAAGAGTTCTCTCATCTCATTTTACTCAAAAAAATGCCACCAACAGCCAGTTCTGGGTCAAGGTCAAAATCACCAGCCAGGAAATCAATCAAGGTTTCCCATATGAGTGGCAGGAACCCAGGCATACTTGAGTCTTTACTGCTTTCTCCTAGTGTTTTAACTGACCAGAAACTGGATTAGGAGCTGGACTGGGAAATCAAACTAAGGTACTCCAATGTGAAATGTGGGCATCTCAACAGACATGCTCAAAACACCTGCCCTATTGCTACTGTATTTGATGCTGAAAGTCTCATTACTTTTTTCAATTCTTACAAAAGAAAGGAACTTTGTGTGCAATATCTTATCTTCTCCTTCTTCTCCCACATTTTCAACGTTATGATCACCATCAAGGGGTTATTCTCCAACACCCAGATGCTTCCCAGGATGCGTTGCTTCAAGCTTCAATCACTTCTTATTCTTTCCATTATCTCACTAGGTGATTTCACATTTTCTCTTAATTTTATCTATCACACATGTTCTGATCATTCCTAAATCTTTATCTCAGGCCTTTACTCTAAGTTATAGACTTGCATATTGAGCTGCTTATCCATACAATATTCCCAGACATCACAAACATACTGTGATAAATTTGTACCAATCTCCTTTCAATTTTCTCAGTCTTGATCGAAGGCAACTGCCGCTAGTCTCAAGCCATCCAACAGAACTTTCTGTGTGATGAAAATATTTTAATCTGTATTGTCCAATATGATGGTCACCTGCCACACTTGCCTATTTAGTCTATGAAACATGGCAAGCTTGAAACAAAAAAAAAATTTTTCTTGTTAACTAATTTTCTGCTTATTTCCAACCAAAAATGGGGGAAAAGAAGGAATATGGATAAATCATAGTAAAGAGAAAAAAATTAAACCTTAGATACATTCTCAATTTATTTTTTACTTTACTGGCAGGGAAATAAATTTTAGATATCTTAGTTGCAAGGCAATAGGAAAGACTAGATTCTATTGTATTGTGTAATAGTAAATCAAGAATGAAACAAAACATTGTTGAAAATGTAACATGTGGGACCTGGTATTGTAGCACAGTGTATTAAGCCACCGCCTACCACACTGGCATCCCATATGGGTGGCAGTTCTAGTCCTGGCTGCTCCACATCAAATCCGGCTTCCTGTTAATGCACCTGGGAAAGCAGAAGATGGCCCCAAGTATGTGGGTCCCTGCTATACACGTGGGAAACCAGATGGAGTTCTAGGCTCCTGGTTTCAGCCTGATCTCCCAACCCCAGTCACTGCAGCAATTTAGGGAGTGAATCTGTAGATGGAAAGATGGAAGATTTCCCTTTCTCTCTCTCTCTCTCTCTCTCTCTCTCTCTCTCTCTGTGTGTGTGTGTGTGCATGCGTGTGTGTGTGTGTGAGAGAGAGAGAGAGAAAGGGGGAAGGAGAGGGAGGAGGAGAGGGAGAGGGAGGGGAAGAGAGAGAGGGAGAGATTCTGACTTCCAAATAAATAAATACGTCACAAGTATGTATTCAGCACTTGCCATGTTCAAAGCATCACGCTCAGTGCTGGGTACCCTGCAGGAAAAGAATCAAACATCATCCTTGACCTCATATGTTCTCCCCAAGTCACCTTTATTCTAATCTTTGGTTTCAAATTTCAAGTTTATGTCACCCTTGAAAGAGAACTGGAGAAAAAAAATTCAGGGAAAAACAAGCATAAATATTTTTCTCCTAAGGGAATAATGGTTTATCAATTAATACATTATATAACTGGTGCTTGCTTTATTGCTGTCTCATTTTATTTGAAATGGAGTGGGGATGGAAAGAGAGAGGGAGGGAGGGAGGGAGGGACAGAATCTTCCATCTGCTGGTTTACTCCTCAAATGTCTGCAATTGCCAGAGCTGGGCTATTCTGAAGCCAGGAATCTGGATCTCCATCTGGGGACCCAATATGGAGAGCAGAGACTCAAGTGGTTGAACCATAAACTGCTGCCTCCTGGGATACACATTAGGACAAAGCTGGGTGGGAAGCAGTGTAGCTAGGACTTGAAATAGGAACTCCAATACGGGATGCATGAATACCAGGCTATTACTTAACTGCCACACCAAATGTTTACCCCAAGCCTGATGCTTTTTATTGTAAAGTTTTCCAGCAAAACAAAATGTAATTTCAAGAAATAGCTATAGGGGACGGTGCCAGCATCCCATATGGGCACCGGTTCAAGTCCTGGCTGCTCCTCTTCCAATTCAGCTCTCTTAAGTGGCCTGGAAAAGCAATAAAAGACAGCCCAACTGCTTGGGCCCCTGCATCTGTGTGGGAGATCTGGAGGAAGCTCCTGGCTCCTGGCTTTGGATCAGCTCTGCTCTGGCAGTTGCGGTCATTTGGGGAATGAACCAGTGGAATGGAAGACCTCTCTCTCTCTCTCTCTCTGGCTCTACCTCTCTCTGTAATTCTTTCAAATAAATAAAAAGAAATCTAAAAAAAAACTATAAAAGGTATCTAACATAAGATTAAACTGCTATAAAAATGATAATGAAATATACATTAAAAATAACCTGCACACATATATTTTACTTTCAAAATCATTATAATAAAACTATATTACAGTTGTCAGGAAATACAACATGCCTTAAATAAACGTGAAATATTTCTGGAGTACAAAAACTGATGGGATAAGTAGAATATGAGATTAAGTGACAGGTGGAAGAACCTGAAATCTGTAAGAGTTGATTAATTATTACAGAATTATACTCTCAACTGATTGTCTGAAGTATAAAAAAAAAACTGAGTATGCTGTTTATAAATACCACAATGCCTCTTTCATTAGTTATCTTCTCTTTAGCAAAGAGTACCAGACTGATTAATTGTGAAGGTTAAGAAACAAATATTCTGCTAGAAGTTTTTGAATACAGAACTAACTCATAATTAAAATAACAGAAAGTATACTGTTATTTATACTTAAGGAACACAATTTTTGCAGAGCTTTTAGGGGCAACATATATTTTTTCAAACTATGTCAAAACATATGAAAACAGAGACACATCTATCCACAAAATATAGTGGCAATATTGGCAGTGTATTTTACAATGTGTTAGCCAAAGAAAATGCAAACTATACTTTTCCTGTTAAGTAGAAAAACGAAAGTGATTGCAATGAAACTTTTCTCTCCTAAAGCTAAATGCCCTGTGTTTTACATATTTTACTTTACATGACAGTTTTATTATAACCACACTCCAATCTTAGTATTCATTCTCTTATTGGTATTGTAAAGGATTCACAGAAATGTGTAGTAAACTTCATCATTCCAACTTCAAATGGCAAGATGGTATAGCATCTCAAAAATCCTCAGTAACTTTTATTGATCCATCACAGAATAAGCACTTTAAAACGTGTGTGTAAATCTTTCATAAATCTATTAGCCATCTTTTCTTTTTGCTACAAATATTTTAGAATTTTTAAAAAATCATAAAGCAGGAATAACCCAAACAAAATTCTTTAGTATTTTAGAGTCATACAACTATATCACATTTCCATCCTCTTTCCTACATTAATGTTCAGTGCTTTAATCTTTCTTTACAAACCATCTGCATCATCTTTTAGATAATACCAAACCCTCCTACCTTGACCACTCCAAATTGTGTTAAATATCCCTTGACAGGTTATCATACAGAAGATCCTCTCAGAAATAAAGACCCAAGCTATATAAGAGGATGATGATGTTTTACTTCATTTAATGGGTTTTTTCCTGCTGATTATCTTATGATACTTTCAGAATTAATACCATTAAATCACTACCTATCAGCCTACTGGCATATTTGGTTTAATCATCACTAAATATTTTATTTTTAATATCTCATTAAAATTCATTTAACAATTTTTAACCAACTTTGCCAATTTTCTCATTGAATTCATTTTTCTTTGGCCAGAAGTTTTTGAAATGATGATTTAGATAGCTTTCTAGTAAAGAATATAGACTAGAATTGCATCTACTGTGAAACCCAAACACATTATTCTTATATTTGTACTAATAATCTGAAATAAAAAGGATGATTTTTAAAAGAAGGATACTTAGTAAAAAAAAAAAAAAGGCCTGAGCCGCGGCTCACTAGGCTAATCCTCCACCTTGCAGCGCCGGCACACCGGGTTCTAGTCCCTGTTGGGGCGCCGGATTCTGTCCCGGTTGCCCCTCTTTCAGGCCAGCTCTCTGCTGTGGCCAGGGAGTGCAGTGGAGGATGGCCCAAGTGCTTGGGCCCTGCACCCCATGGGAGACCAGCATAAGTACCTGGCTCCTGCCATCAGATCACCGCGGTGCGCCGGCCGCAGCGCGCTGGCCGAGGCGGCCATTGGAGGGTGAACCAACGGCAAAGGAAGAACTTTCTCTCTGTCTCTCTCTCTCTCACTGTCCACTCTGCCTGTCAAAAAAATAAAAAAAAGAAGGATACTTAGTGTTACCTATTTTTCCATAAAGCTCTCCCATATACTATTGTGTTTTTTTTTTTAATTTAAAAAATTCTATTTGAGAGGCATAGAAACAAAAACACAACACACACATCCTATGCACTGATTCATTTCAAACTGTGCAGAGCCAAGGCCAGGCCAAATCTAACAGCCAGAAACTCAATCCAGGTATCTCACAAGGTTGATAGGAACCCAATTACTGGAGTTATTACTGCTGCCTCCCTGACATGGCATTAACAGGAAGCTGAAACCTGGAGTTGGGACCAGGCACTGAACAGAGGTGCCACAATATGGGTTGCACACATCTTAAGCAGTGCATTAAATGCTAAGCTAAATACATACTCCATTATTACATTTTATATTTTTTATCATTCAAATAAAATAATATTGCTACTCATGACATATAAAGTACACACAAAATAATTCCATTTTATGATAATCAGCAACTGTTTTTTTTTTTTTCTGCTTTGGTTCCCAAAGGCATTGTCTTCACAATTCATTTTCAATAAATATGATTGGGGATCCACTATTTAACATGTAGAGAGTCATGTGCTAAGCATATAAATAGAAAACAAAAAAAATTCAGAAAGCAAATGAGTATGAGCAGAAGAGACAACTCACAACAACAAACTATAACATCTTTTGATAGTACTATATGAAGGCACCTAAGAAAATACTTCATTTTCTTCAGGGAGCATGGCAGTAGTGTGACAAGGAGAGACAACAGTAAGAATTTTCTTCTTGTCTGGGCTTTGAGGATGGGTAAGATACACTTGATAAAGAGTGCTGGAGTATGACATTCAAGCAGAGAGGGTACACACACATGACAAAGGATATTTGTTAAAGAAAATATAGTAACTCAATATGGCAATAAAAAAGGAATCAACTGTACACCTATCAGAAAATAAATTTTGAGCAGCAGGATGCAGAAAGTCCTATAAAAAACCTTATAGGTTTACCTAGAACTTCAGACTTGATTCTTTAGGCAGCAGAAGTATTAATCATATTGTACTGAGAAAGATCTCTCAGGAATAGGATAAAGCATTTAATGGCCAGAGGCTAAAGAGACCCATTTGGAGATGTGGACTATTATAAATTTCCAGACTAAAATTTTAAAACTTGGAGATATATCTAAGGAAGACATGAAAAATCAAATGACTCAAAGTTTCCTAGTAAATTTAACAGGCAACTAGGTTAGGAAAAAGGGACAAATTTTCCACAGTGTCTTAAACAAGAGGAACTGATCTTGTTCATTTTGGATCCATTGCATAGTGCAGGTATATTACCTATATTCATTCTGGTAGCCAATCATTTATTACAAGCTAATAGATCAGCTTTCCCAGATAACCAAAACAGAAAAATGTTTAAAATATAGTTATGTGTTTGACAGGAAAACTTGTATAGGGTGATACGTATCTATTTCTTTATCTACTTAAGAGACACAGAGAGAGAAAAAGACAGAAACAGAGCACCAAAGAGACTGATGTCTCTGGTCTGCAGGTTCACTTCCAAAAGTTCTACAAAAATCAGGGCCAGGCTAAGCCACAGTACAGAACAGAGAACTCCATCCAGTTCTCCTACGAGAGTGACAGGGAATTCAACTATGTGACCCATCCCCTGCTGCCTCCCACAGTGCATTAGCAGAAAACTAGATTTGGGAGCAGAGTCAGGATTGAACCAGGCATTCTTCTATGAGATGCAGGTGTCCCAAGGCAGTGTCTTAACCACTAGAACAGTCACCCCAGGGTTAAGTTTAAAGTCATATACCAAAATACTCTGATCATCATATATAAGGACACTGTTGGTTGTCTTTGAGCTACATTTTGGTGAATGATACTAGATTTCCAGAGAACATTCTCATGGTCTCTTGGTAATTGAAGCATACACTCAGATGTATATCTTAGTGCGTACACACACACACATACACACACACATATATGATATATGTTCGTGTTTTTCTTCACTATCCACAGGGATTGGTTCCAGGACCACTCTGTGGATACTACAATCTATTAATTCTAAAGTGTCTTCTGTTTCATATAAATTACATTACATATATCTTCCTATATACTTTATCATTAGACTACCTATAGCACCTATGACAATGTAAAGGCTATGTAAACAGTTGCTTATACTATATGCCTTGGGAAATAATGGCAAGAGAAAGTCTGTGTCCATGTTTGGCACAAACACAATTTTTTTTCAAAGACTTTCATGAAATTTATAAATACCTAGGGGTCACTATATGAATAAGTATATATATATATATATATCACTGTGCCATATATTAATCTCATTTTTACATGCTCTTGAGTTTTTAAACATTTCTTTGAGAAAGGAGGAGGCAGAAGGGCATAGAAAGAGACATCATCCATCTGCTGGTTCACTCCTCAAATGCTCAAAACAGCTGGAGCTGACCCCAGGACCAAGATAGGAATCAGGAACTCAATTCAAGTTTTTTATGCTGGTGGCAGGAACCCAATTTCATGAGCCATCATTGCTGCCTCCAAGGACTGCATTAGCAGGAACTGGAATCTGGAGCTAGAGCCAGAAATCTAACACAGGGACTCCAATGTGAGAATAAGATGTCTTAACTGGCATCCTAACTACAAGGCTAAATGCCTTCCCTTTATATGCTTTTCTGATTATGAACAGTATATTTATTTCATTGGCCATAAAATTTCTGAATTGCTTTTAGGTATTAAACTTTACACATGAATAGGCTTACCTAATGAAAAAAGTCTGAAAATATTATTTTGCATTGATAATCTACGTGGTAAAAATGATATAACACCCCAAAACTAACAGCCTAAGAGGCACAAACTAATTATTTTGTGTATGTCCCCAGCCAGTTTCATTCAATTAGCTGCATGACTCAGTTCAAAAGGTGATTAATTGGTTCTGTTTCATATGGCAGAATTGCCATCCCATTTTTGATACATGCAAAGACACTGAGAAATTTTAAATTTAAGCTTAATCACCCTGTCTAAATATTAAACATAGAGAAATAAGGGAAGGGTAATTGCCATGCAAATCTTTCCTGAGATAGAACAATTTCCTGCTTACTCTAATGCAGTGATATGCTCTGTACACAATACTTGTCTGTCAGCAGTCAACAGTTCTAGATGTAGAACACAAAAACTGCCTCCAAGGCTGAACTAGTGGGAGTGATTGGACAAGGATTAGCTATGCATGAGAGAATATCAGTAACCCCAGAAAGTCTCAAATTATGACTCTTTCTTATCCTGAAATCCAATCATTTAGCTAAGAGTGATTGAAAATGTTTAATTATTACGTTGAAATCAAGTAAGCTATTTTCCTATCCTTTTTCAGTATTAGGGTTATATTTTAAGTAGAAATATAAGTCTACAAAAATTTGTATATTTCTACATATACATTGATTTCTTAGATTGAAACCTCTCTCTGGGTAACTGAATATTTCAAGGTTCCATTCTAATAGAATCCTTTTGAATTCTTTTTTTTTATTTTGTTTTTATTTGTAAAATAGTAGGTACTCACATGTATTTGTTTAAGCAGTAAAATAGTTAACTTCCAGCTTCATTCCATTATGGTCAGAAAAGACACATGATATGATTTCAATTTTTCTGAAATTCTTAAGACTTGCTTTATGGCCTAGCATATGCTCTATCCTAGAGAAAGTTCCATGCACTGATAAAAATAACTTTCATTCTGCAGCTGTGGGATTAAAGTGTTCTGTAGATATCAATTAGATCTATTTGAACACTATGCTACTGAATGAAAAGTAGTTCATAGAAGAAATCAAAAGGGAAATCAAAAATTCCTAGAAACACATGATAATGACAACACAACATATCAAAACTTTTGAGATATATCAGAAAGAGTATTAAGAGGAAGTTTGTAGAAATCAGTGCCTACATCAAGAAGTTGGAAAGACATCAAATAAACTAACACGGGATGATTGTTAGATGATCTAACAATGCATCTCCAGGACCTAGAAAACAAGAACAAACTAAACACAAAATTAGTAGAAGGAAACAAATAATTAAAATTATACAAGAAATAAACACAACTGAAACAAAAAATTTGAAAGATCAATGAAATGAAAAGCTGTTTGTTTGTTTTTTTAATAACAAAACTGATGCACCCCTGGTGCAACTAACCAAAAAAAGGGGTTGGGAAGAAGACTTAAATTAATAAAATCAGAGATGATAAAAGGAGATGTTACAAGAGATATGACAGGAATAAAAAAGAATCATTATTATTTGTAATTATTACAAACAGGTATATGCCAACAAATTGGAAAAATCTATAAGAAATGGATAGGTTTCAAGGCACATAAAATCTACCAAAATTGATCCATAAAGACATAGAAAACCTAAATAGACCAATAACCAATAGGGAGACTGAATAAATAATAAGGATCCTCCCAAAAAGAAAAGTCCAATACTAGATGGTTTCACAGCTGAAATCTACCAAATCTTTAAAGATGAACTAACTATTCAAAACTATTTAAAGGGAGGGAATCCTCCTAAACTCTTTCTATGAGGCCAGTATTACCTGAATTCCCAAACCAGAAAAAGATAAAACAAAGAGAACTATAGACCAACATAATTGAGGAACATGGCTGTAAAAATCCTTAACAAAAAACTAGCTAATAGAATCCAACAACACATCAGAAAGATCATTCACCTGGATCAAGTGGGATTTATCCCTGATACGCATGGATAGCACAACATATGCAAATCAAAAATTTGTTACAATACATTAACACACTGAAAAATAAAAGCCATATATTTTCCTCAACAGATTCAGAGAAGTATTTGATAAAATATAACATCCTTTCATGATAAAAAGTCTTAAGTAAATTGAATACAGAAGAAACATTCTTCAGCAAAATTAAGGAAATTTATGATAAATCACAGCCAGCATCATATTCAATGGGGAGAAGCTGGAAGCATTTCCACTAAGATCTGGAACCAGGCAAGGATGCTAACCTCACCATTCCTATGCAATATAGTTCTGGAAGGTTTAGCCAGAGCTATTAGGCAAGAAAAAGCAATCAAAGGGATATATATTGGAAAGGAGTGAGTCAAACTATTCCTATTTGCAGATGACATGATCCTATATAAATAGGGAAACCAAAATACTCCACTAAGAGACTATTGGAACACATAAGAAAGTTTGGTGAAATTGCAGGATATAAAATTAACACATAAAAGTCAATAGCCTCTGTATACCCAAATACCATGGCTAAGAAAGAACATGTGAAATTAATTCCATTCACAATAGCTATAAAAAATTAAATATACTGGAATAAATGTAACCAAGGATGTGAAAGGTCTCTAACAATGAAAACTACAAAACATTAAAGAAGGAAATAGAAGGAGACACAAAAAATGAAAAAATCTTTCATGTTCTTGGACTGGAAGAATCAATATCACCATGATATCCATAATACCCAAAGCAATTTACAGATTCAATGCACTCCCATTTTTTTAAAAAAGCCATTCTTCTTAGATATAGATGAAAACATGGTACAATTCATATGAAAACACAAGAGACCCTGAATAGCTAAAACAATCCTAAATAACAAAAACAAAGCTTGAAGCTTCAGAATATCAGATTTCAAAACATACTACAGGGCAGTTATAATCAAAACAGCCTAGTACTGGCACAAAAATAGACATGTCAACAAACAAAAGAGAATCAAAACCCCAGAAATTAATCCATGCGTCTAGAATGAACTTATCTTTGACAAAGGAGCTAAAATCAATTTCTGGAGTAAGGACAATATCTTCACCAAACAGTTCTGGGAAAATTGGACCTACGCTTGTAGAAGTATGAAACAAGAACCATTAATTTATACATTATACAAAAATCAACTCAAGATGGATCAAGGATCTAAATCTATGACCTGATACCAACAAATACTGGAGGACTTTGGGGAAACTGTGCAAGACATCAACATAAGAAAAGACTTCTTGGAAAAGACCCCAAAAGCACAGGCAATCAAAGAAAAAAAACAGACAAATGGAATTGCAGCAAGCTAAGAAGCTCCTGTACTGCAACAGAAACACTCAACAAAGTGAAGAGGCAACCAACAGAATGGGAGAAAATATTTGCAAATTATGTAACTGATAAAGGATTAATGTCCAGGACCTTTAAAGAGCTCAAGGAATGCAACAATAGCAAAACAAAAAACACAGTTAAGAAATGGACAAAGGACATGAACAAGCATTTTCAAAGGATGAAATACAAATGACCAACCAAAAATGAAAAAATGCTCAGGTTTACTAGCCAACAAGGAACTACAAATAAAAACCACATTGAGGTATCTCCTCACCACAGTTAGAGTGGCTATCATCCAAAAATAAAAAAAAATAAATAAATTCTGGCAAGGATGTGGGAGAAAAGGTACCCTAACACACTATTGGTAGGAATGTAAACTAGTAAAACCATGTTGAAGACTTTATGGAGATTCCACAGAAATCTAATAGTTCTACCACGTGATAAAGCCATCCCAATCCTGGGAATTTACAAAGAGGAAATGAAATCAGCATATGAAATAGTTAACTTTACCCCAATATTTACTGCAGATCAATTCATAATAGCTAAGATATGGAATCAAACCAGACATCCATCAAGTGATAACTGGATAAAGAAAATATATACACTATACAATACTACTCAGCCATAAGAAAGAAAGAAATCCTATTTTTTTAGCAAAATGGATGCAAATGGAATTCATTATGCTTAGTGAAATAAACCAGCTTCCAAATGACAAATTATGTTTTATTTGATAGTTGGCAGATAATATAGAATATAAAATACAAAAAAATGGATGTCTTGTAATATGAATGCCATTTTAGCCTCTTTTTATACTCCTCTGCAACTGTGGTCTTCCTACATTTACTTGTGAAGCATTACGATTAGTGGTGAATTAAGCCTGTGATTACATAGTGTATTAAAATTATGTCTTTGCAAAAAATTAAAGGAAAAAAAAGGAAAGAATGAGGGGCATTCAGAAGGGAAAGTGAGAGGGAGGGAAGTATGGTTATATTCTTTTTTTTAAAGATTTATTTATTTATTTGAAAGTCAGAGTTACACAGAGGGAGGGGAGACAGAGAGAGAGATAGAGAGACAAGTCTTCCATCCGCTGGTTCACTCCACAATTAGCTGCAACAGCTGGAGCTGAGCCAATCCAAAGCCAGGAGCAAGGAGCTTCTTCCAGGTCTCCCATGTGGGTGCAGGGGCCCAAGGACTTGGGCCATCTTCTACTGCTTTCCCAGGCTATAGCAGAGAGCTGAATCAGAAGTAGAGCAACCAGGACTCGAACCGGTGCCCAGGAGGGATGCTGTCACTGCAGGCGGTGGCTTTACCCACTACACCACAGTGCCAGCCCCACTATGGTTATATTCTTAGAACTGTACTTAAAAAATACCTGAGGCCGGCACCGTGGCTCAATAGGCTAATCCTCCGCCTGCAGCACTGGCATACTGGGTTCTAGTCCCAGTCGGGGTGCCAGATTCTGTCCCAGTTGCCCCTCTTCCAGGCTAGCTCTCTGCTGTGGCCCTGGAAGGCAGTGGAGGATGGCCCAAGTGCTTGGGCCCTACACCCCATGGGAGACCAGGAGAAGCACCTGGCTCCTGCCTTCGGATCAGCACAGTGCGCCGGCCGCAGTACGCTGGCCACGGCGACCATTGGAGGGTGAACCAATGGTAAAGGAAGACCTTTCTCTCTGTCTCTCTCTCTCTCACCGTCCACTCTGCCTGTCAAGAAAAAAAAAAAAAAAGAAATACATGAAATCTGTTCTCTTTATATTAATAAATAAATTTTTTAAATTAACCATTAAATGCTCACCTAGTTATTATAATACATAGATAAAGGGAAATGGATGATTAAGAAAAAGCTTATAAACTAACATTTAAACTAATGCAAATTGAGAGTCAAGAGACTATTAGAAATAATATTCCAATGACAATCAAATTCAGTTTTTGTCTACTTCTGCCATCATCTAGCAGATGGCAGAGATGTTATATTTTTAAGTCACATACTTAAATTAAAAATGAAGAAGCAGATATTATTTCAATAGATGTATAGTGAACAGGGGGAGCAAAGGAAATATGACGCCTAAGTTACAATGCAGCTTTTCTATTAACTTCTTTGGACTTGTTTTTCATTTTAAAATTAGAGGTGAACAAAGTGGGTTCTTCTTTTGTAGTCTCATGAAGATGACCAAAAGCAAAGGAATTATCAAAATTAACGAGGTTAAGTCCTAACATCTTAAGCTTGGTTTTAGTTGGAATTTATTGAAGAAAGAAAATACAAATAATGTAGGGAGAGCAAACAACAATGGTTGTAGCTTACATATTTGTTGAATAAATAAGACAGCAGAAATAGAATGACAATGATAACCAGTGGGTAGATAATTTACAAGATGTCTTCCCATAAATTATACATGTATTCATTTCATCTGAAAAAGAACTCCTTGAAAATTACCCATGTCACTCAAGCATATAAAAGGTGGAGTCAAGTTTTCAAAGCCATATATTTGGAGTGAAGCCATTGTTCTTAACTATAACCATGTGACCCTCAGTAAACTTTTCTCCACTTTGTATTTTTTTGCTCCTCCAGGTTTCATTACTCCCTATCCAATACTGTGCTGTGCTTTTCACCATTTATACCTCATTTGGTCATCCCCTGGTCACATATCTCAAATATCATTAATGCGTGTGTGTGTATACATATATATACACATTTCATTTCCCTCTGTCTTTACTCCCCTTGCTAACATACCTTTGCTACTTTTTTAATTAAATTCTCTATCAAAATCAAAATACAGCAAATCTTCAAGTTGTTCCTGGAATATGCATGCTATGAAAAAATTATAGATGGATTTCAAAACCTTTTCACAACAAAGTAAACTCATACTAACTTATTACAACATATTTGAACAGAATCTAGTTGAGGCACCAAAAAAAAGTAAGATGCCATTATGAAAAAAGTCCCTATTGGAGCACCATGAAGTCTGCTAACATTGAAGCAAAAACAAACATCAGAGCTTAGAAGGAAGAATGATGAAATGTATTATGAAAAGTTTACTTGGACAGTTCCCTCAATGAAATCAGTAGATTGCAAATGGATAACTGAATTTAAGGGACAAGATGATGTTGAAAAGGAAGCTTGCAGTTGCAGATCATCCACATCAATTTGGGAGGGGAAAAATGTGTCTTGTTCATGCTCTCATTGAAGAGGACCAATGATTAACAGCAGAACAGCCAATATCATATACATCTCAATTGGTTCTGCTTATATAATTCTGACTGAAAAATTAAAATTGAATAAAATCTCTGTTCAATAAGCTGTCTACCAAAACCATTGCATTCAGATGGGCTACAGACAAGAACAGACCTTTACATGGAAATCTTCAACAAGGGAGACCAACATCTTGAAGCATTTCTTCAAAGCATTGTAACAGGAGACAAAATAAAATAAGGTTTTGCCAGTGCATTCTAAAGACAAAACCACAATTAAAGCAAAGACTACCAGTAAGTGGAAGCGGTTCAGAGTCAAAATGGATTTGTCAAAACACAGAAGGCATTGCAACAGTTTTGTGGGATTTTCAGGGCATTTTGTTGTTGTTGTTGTGGTTGTTGTTGTTGCTGACTTTCTGTAGGGCCAAAGAACAACTATTTTTATGAGTGCACTGAGAAAGTTTTCCATAATATTGGCAGAAAAATGTCAGAGAATGGTTTTCAAAAGAGCTTGAAGTACAGATAAACAGCCTACTACAAATATATTACTGCCACTCTTGGATCACAAGTACAACTTCAGAGCAATGTGCGTATCTCTTGCTAGGTAAGGTTCTGAAAATGTGTTAATATGTCTTGAGTTCCAAAAATATGCTTAGCATCAAAAGAAGCTCTGTGGGTTCTCTTATGTTCCTGAGTTGCTGTTTTCTGAAGACAATCACTAAAAAAGGTAAATCTCTTTACCTGGCTATTTATGGCATATTAACAGTTTTTAAGGTTTTTGGAGAAAATTATCTCAAATTTGAGACCAGTGTGTTGTTTTTAGTGTTGGTGGTTTTTAACAATATACAGTGTGTGTTTTTAGTGATGGTGTTTGTAACAATACCACACATTCCGATAACACCTCTTTTTTTTTTCCTCAACCCTTACAACCTGAAGATGAACTAGATATGGCTTTTGTCATATTATATACTTATTCCTGCTTCTTTCAGAATCCTCATGTTCTCCTTCTCAGATGGAACACTAGTTTTTTTAGTTCTACTTATTCTCTATATGCTTCTAAGTTAAGCCACACTGAGCTCAAAAATTTTTAGAAGAATGTAGCATATACGGATCCCAACATTCCTGAAAGTCAATTGTACATACAGATTGCAAGATCACAAGCACTGACAACAATTTTTTTAAGGTCCATTTGTAATACTTCTACAAGTAGATTGGAAATTGCCCATGAACAAAACCAACTCTACTATTTCATCATTTGTTGTTACTCACACAAAATATAAACACTCCTAAGACAATATAGTTTCCTCACAACACATCTAGCTGTGGAATGATTTCAGTCTTTGCATTTCACTCAGTCACAGACTCATCATCATCACTTCCAGGAGGAAGAACATTTGTCTTATTTGGGGGAACTTATTTTATATTTCAACTATGGATATCTTTCTTTGTTATTATGGGCTTATAAATTTAATTCATTAGACCTATCATTTTGTAAAACGAAGATACAGATAAAAGCTATCCACTAAAATGTAACTCATGTTACCATTTAGAAGACAGTACAACAGAACAAAGTTGTCTTTCCTACAAGTAACCTGGATGCTATATAAAGTTTGGGAAGACAAAACACCACAAAAGGGCTAGACCATGAATTACGTCAACATTCTTGAGTATCTCAGTTATGATTAGAATAAGTAAAACAAGAGAGGTAATGAGGGCAGCTACTTTACCTTCAACAGAATGTTTTAACTAGAGATATATTTCACAAAAAACCAGAGCTGAAATGGTGCCTTCACTTAGTCCATTAATCTTCCTCCTTGAATCAAAATAAATATTTAACAATCCATTTCAAAATTTGAGAAATTTTCTAACCAGTTTTAAGAAATACATTCTATTGAGGAAAGGTATAATGTTGTATACCATAAGTGTATAATTATTATATATCAATTTGAATAACAGTATCAGGTTCATTGTCTATGTTAATTGACATAAAATTCTAAGGAAGAGACTCACAGAATCTTTGGGCTTTCATCTTTAGATAACAGTTACTGTCAATTCAAGAAATAGGCCAGCGCCGTGGTTCACTAGGCTAATCCTCCGCATGCAGCACCAGCACCCCGGGTTCTAGTCCCGGTTGGGGCCCCCGATTCTGTCCCAGTTGCTCCTCTTCCAGTCCAGCTCTCTGCTGTGGCCCGGGAAGACAGTGGAGGATGGCCCAAGTGCTTGGGCCCTGCACCCTCATGGGAGACCAGGGGGAAGCACCTGGCTCCTAGCTTCGGATCGGAGCAGGACGCTGGCAGTAGGGGCCATTGGGGGGTGAACCAAAGGAAGGAAGACCTTTCTCTCTGTCTCTCTCTCTCTCTCTCACAAACTCTGCCTGTCCAAAAAAAAAAAAAAAAAAAAAAAAAAAAAAAAAACCCTCACAAAATAGAACTCTATTACTAATATAGAAATGCAAGAATCTACAACTAGAATTTGTTTTAAATACTATTGATATTGTTATCACTACAACTACCAGAATCAACAAATCTAGATTTCTGCAATATTGAAAGTTCATTTTAACCTAGTTCAATGTCACAGTTTTATTATCCAGAGCCATCCTTTCATGTCCACGTCTCCAAAGAAACAATCTAGCTATTTAGGTCAAAAAGACATGGTTGTTTTTAAAATCTGACACTGAAATGCATGTGGAACATGAAGCCACTTTCTAAAATGATCAATTTTTTTTTCACCTATAACTGTTGATGTAGTGACTGTCTTTTCTAGGGCAGGAATCATAAAAGACAATCAAAATTTCATTTTGCACACATACATGATTTTATTAGCAATTTCTTAATGCTAATAGCACTACCATAGTATATTTAAAGTGACTATTTTCTATTTTGATAATCAAAAGCATGTCTAGATCATATTTATCCAATTATCCAGTCAGTTAATTTAAAGTATAAATGAGAGGTTTTAACACCTATTGTCTGTCATCTTCACTGATTCTAATTATAGGCAATGTCACAGACATTTGAGAATATTCCTTCAAATGAGTAAAGTATATTGTTGTAATAAAAATCAGGAAATCAATTTGTATGTTAAATAGCTATGATTTTATAGATAGTTGTGATTTGTTAAGTATTTAATTATGTGAAATCCAACATATACTAATCAAATAGAGTAAACAAATTGCTAGTAGTCAAATTTATCCATCATGGGTTTGTTTTATGAGTACATACAAGTATAGTACATTATAAAACATTTATCCATAATATTTTCATTCAACTTACCTGAAGAGAAAAGACAAGAAAAAGGGAAGTCAAAATGCACTGCAACCTAAAATATACTGGCACAACCACACTCTGATGTACACAAAAGACTCCATTTTACAATTAAGAAAACATAGGCTCAGCAAATGTAAATAAACTACCCAAACTGCTCAGCAAGTAGAATGGGTCATTTGAATTCATATCTCTTTGGTCCTAAAGTCTCTCCTTTCCCTTCATTACTCTATCCTTACTTTTCATACCCCTTATAAACAAACTGGTAGAAACTTAGGAAAATTGACTAATTATTTAATCTGGGAAGTCTTGAGCTTCATAAAAATACTTTTAAGTAATATTTAAAAATATTTTTAAGTGCTAGGAACTAGAAAGTATATAAATGGAAAGAATAGTACTTCTCAAACTACACGAAAGTAATAAAGTGCTTTAGTTTCAAACTGCCAATAGACAATATTTTTGAATCCACAATTAAAATAAATTACTAGGAGAATTTTAATATTCTTGGTTACATTGGAACAAAGATTCCTAAATGCCTAGTCTCAATTTTACATTTATATTAAAGAAGACCAGCACCAATCTGTGGCCCACGTTTGAGTAATATTGAGCTAGAGTTCAAGTCACAATAAGGTAATCAGTTTAATACATATTAAAATATATATGTGTGTGGGGCCCAGCGCTGTGGTGCAGTGGGTTACAGTACCACCTACAGTGCAGATAACCCATATCAGCACCAGATCGAGTCCTGGATTCTTTAGTTCCAACCCAGTTCCCTGTTAATGTACCTGGGAAAGCAGCAGAAGATGGCCCAAGTGCTTGGGTCCATGTACCCACATGGGAGATCCAGATAAAGCTCCTGACCCCTGACTTCAGCCTAGCTCAGCTCTGGCCATTATAGGCATTTGAAGAGTAAACCAGCAGATGGAATATGTCTCTCCCTCTCTCTTTCTCTCCGTCTCTCCCTCTCTCCCTCTCCCTCTCCAATTCTTACTTTCAATTAAATAAATAAATCTTTTTTAAAAAGAAATAATATATACATCTAGAGTTCATTGAAATAAAAAAGAGATCCCTATCATGCAATCTATTTGCTAAACAATCTTTTTACTTCAATAAGCTGTTTTTAACACTAGTGTAGTATGAAAGAAAATAAAGGTCCACTTGGGGGTCAGCATGGTCGTGCAGTGGGTTAAAGCCCTGGCCTACAGCACTGGTATCCACATGGGCATCTGCTCAAGACCTGGCTGCTCCAATTCTCATCCAGCTCCCTGTTAATGTGCCGAGGAAAGCAGAAGATGGTCCAAGTCTTTGGACCGCTGCACCCGCATGGGAGACCCAGAAGAAGCTGCTGGCTCCTAGCTTCAGGTTGGCTCAGCTCCAGCAATTACAGCCATTTGGAGAGTGAACCAGCAGATGGAAGACCTCTGTCTCTCTCTGTCTCTACCTCTCTCTGTAACTCTTTCAAATAAATAAAATAAATCTTTTTATTTTAAAATAAATGTCTGCTTAACATAGTTGAAAACAGAATAAAAGAGATAGCATTCATTTTTGTCCAGATTTTATATGTGCATATATATCCACACATATCTATTTTTTGTTATTGAGCATCAACATGGATAATTAATTTTAAATAAAGTAATCATTCTTTAGTTAAAATTATTTCATCTTTCTGACAACCACTGTTCTAAGATACATTGATGATCCCTGCAATGGGGAAACAAGAAAATTAATATTGTGTTTATCCTTTCTGTCAGAACTGATACATAAAAACCAGTTTCCACTCTTGCCATTTTCCAATTGTGTTAATATTTTATAATAGATCCCTACATGCATTTTGTGTTTTTTTTGTTTTGTTGTTTTTTTTTTTTTTTTTGGACATGCAGGGTGGACAGTGAGAGAGAGAGAGACAGAGAGAAAGGTCTTCCTTTTGCCCCTACATGTATTTTGACAGAGTAAATTTATTTTGTATCAGGATATCCAGGAAATCACCCTAGGAAAATATAATAATTAAATTAAGAAAACCAAAAGAAACATGAAATAGTTTTCTTCCCATAGCACAGTTAAGTAGTTTTTTTTAATATACTACATAAAAATATTTAACTTTCTTTTTCAAATGTCACTTACCATAGAGTGTTCTTAACAACAATGGATTCAGTAATTAGATAAGTATTTACAGATTATTCTAGAGAGCTATTTTCCTATTTTCAAAGGCAGAGATACAGAGAGATAGGGAGAGACAGAGAAAAGGGGATCTTCCATCTGTTGCTTCACTCCCCAGATGGCCACAACAGCCAGCGCTAGGTCAGGCTGAAGCCAGGAGCTTCTCCTGGATCTCCCATGTAGATTGCGGGGGCCCAAGCACTTGAATTATCTTCTACTGATTTTCCTGGGCCATTAGCAAAGAGGTAGATAGGCCTGAAGTGTAGCAGCCCAAACGTGAAGTGGCACCCACACGGGATGCCGATATCTCAGGTGGTGGCTTTACCCATGTGCTGCCATAAAGCTGCCACCTGCAATGCTGGCATCGCAAATAGTAAACTTGTAAATCAAGCAGATAGTATCTATTAATAGTAGCTCTACTACTATTTTAAAACTTTTTTCAGGATATTATGAATATTATTTGCTAAGTTTTGTATTGCTTGCAATAACACTGAATAGAAAAATCTACCTCAACATTCCATGTGAAATGAAAAGGAGGCTGGCGCTGCAGCTCAATAGGCTGATCCTCCACCTGCGGCGCCAAAACAACGGGTTCTAGTCCCGGTTGGGGCACTGGATTCTGTCCCGGTTGCTCCTCTTCCAGGCCAGCTCTCTGCTGTGGCCAGGGAGTGCAGTGGAGGATGGCCCAAGTGCTTGGGCCCTGCACCTCATGGGAGACCAAGATAAGCACCTGGCTCCTGGCTTCGGATCAGCGCGGTGCGCTGGCCCCAGCGCAACGGCCGAAACGGCCATTGGAGGGTGAATCAACGAAAAAGGAAGACCTTTCTCTCTGTCTCTCTTTTTTACTGTCCACTCTGCCTGTCAAAAAAAAGTAGTGTTTTGTGAAAAAAGAAAATATTTTGTTCATTTGAAAGGTAGACATACACAAAGAGCAGGAAAGAGAACAAGAGTGAGGCAAGATATTCAATTCACTGGGTTACTCCCCAAATAGCAGCAACAGGAGCCTGGAACTCCATCAGGGTCTCCCACATGGGTGGCAGGGGCCCAAGTTTTTGAGGCATCCTCTTCTGCCCTCCCAAACAAATTAGTAGGGAGCTGGATCAAAAGTTAAGGATCCAAGACTCAAACTGGTACTCATATGGGAAGCTGGTGCCACAGGCAATGGTTTAATCTACTGCACCACAATGCTGGCCTCAAGGAGGTAGCGTTGATAAACATTTTATGTAATAACTAATAAAAATCAATTATAAAAAATTATTTAAAACTATACTTTTGAGGCCAGTGCCACAGCTCAATAGGGTAATCCTCTGCCTGCGGCGCCGGCACACCGGGTCCTAGTCCCGGTCAGGGCACCGGATTCTGTCCCGGTTGCTCCTCTTCCCTTCCAGCTCTCTGGAAGTGCAGTGGAGGATGGCCCAATTGCTTGGGCCCTGCACCCGCATGGGAGACCAGGAGGAAGCACCTGGCTCCTGGCTTCGGATCAGCGCGGTGTGCCGGCCACAGCAGCCATTGGGGGATGAACCAACAGTAAAGGAAGACCTTTCTGTCTCTCTCTCTCACTGTCCACTCTGCCTGTCACACAAAAAAAATCTATACTTTTGAAAACATTTAAAAACTGTGTTTTGTAATTTTTATTATTAATATAAGAATAGATTATATATTTCATAAATATACTTCTAATACATATTTTACATACTTCTACATACTTCTAATACACACTTCTAATATACTTTGAGACAGTTCGAAAATTAGAAAATATAAAATAAACATAGTACTCGATTATTATATTGATGGCACTATTTCCACTTGACTAATTAAGATGATAGTAAATTAGAGATAAATGATAGACAAGCCAATTAATAGCCAATAGACTTCAGAAAATACAGGCAAAATAGAGATTTATTAATTTGCTCACTGATGTCACAAATACGGTGCTTGCAAATAGGAATTCAGTTAATGAGTGTTTAATTAAAACATGTTAATTTAGGAGGCATGAAAGGGTAAGAAGATTCAAAGTGGCTAATTTTCTGTTTACTGAAATGACACTGACTGTGACTGTCTCACACTGATAGTAACTTCATATTGTGTTGGCAGATGTTAGTATCAGTGGAACTGCCACTTCGATGTGGCATTAATCTCTCTGAGCTGCCAAAGAAATAACTTGTGGCACAGCAATAGCCTGCACTTAGTCTCAGGGTGGGCATGCACTTTAGAGAACTTTGCTCTGCATTAAAGATCTCTGTTTGAGGTCCCTGTGTGTTCTGTCCTTTTCCTGTTCCTCTTCTCAGTCATCTCATCTACCCTCAGAATGTCAACATCCACACAACTTTCTCCAGCCTTGCTCTCTTCCAAATTCTTACGTTCAGCTATCTACTTGGTAGGTATTTCCAATAAAATACTCCACAAAGACTTGCGATTAAATTTGCCAAAACTTAAACTAATGATCATTCTTGGACACCTGGCCAATTCTCTTTTTTATAGCCATTAATTTGTTAGCATCAATATAGCCTAAGTACTCAAACTAGAAATTTTGAGTCTTGAATCTTGCTGCTTCTTCATCATCCACATCCCTAACTTTCCTCCAGCGCCCCCGTCATGCCAATTTTCAGAACATGCCACCTGGACAGTCACACAGGGCTCTTTGCTTAGAAGAGTCCCATGCTTCTCTTAGCTCTGCTGTCACCAACTTGTAGTTATGCATTTTTTTAACAAGAAAGCATGCATTAACTTGTGCTGGGCTGTAAAATTATATAGCCAGTAATGCTTCCCATGTGCTTCATCCTCTGCAAAATCTAACTAAGCTGTAGCCTCTGAGCATAACACAAAATTTCTCACCTCCTTGTCTTTGTTTTCATTTAACCTCTACTGGGAATGTCCCATCCACTAATCAAATTCTCAAATCCTCATTTCTAGTGCCATCTCCTCCAGTAAGTTTTCAGTTCATAATTAAGCTGGGTTAAGCACTCCCATAATGGTACAATTTGAATCACTATTATTTCAATTATAAGAGTCTATTATTAACATTGCCTATTTGTCTGTCTCTAAGAGTCTATGAACTCACAGAAAGAAAAAGTAGGAATTATGTCATAATAGTGACATGCAGAAAACACACAAGTTTTACTGTATAAATGAATAACATGATAAAAATAAAATAAATAACTGCTTTGTACCCTCAATTAATTTATTTTCAGAACAAAAACCTTTTGGAGTGACTGGCGCTGTAGCGCAGCAGGTTAAAGCCCTGGCCTGAGGCGCTGGCATCCCATATGGGTGCCGGTTCTTGTCCCTGCTGCTCCTCTTCTGATCCAGCTCTCTGCAATGGCCTGGGAAAGCAGTGGAAGATGGTCCAAGTCCTTGGGCCCCTGCACCCGTGTGGGAGACCCAGAAGAAGCTCCTGGCTCCTGACTTCAGATCAGCATAGCTCTGGCCATTGTGGCCATCTGGGGAGTGAACCAGCGGATAGGAGACCTCTCTCTCTGTCTCTACCTCTCTCTGTAACTCTCAAAAAAATAAATCTTTTAAAAAAACCCTATTATTCTTTAACAAAAATAATAAGGTACATATTATCAATTCTGTATCATAAAAAGTTTTTTTTTTTTTTTTTTGACAGGCAGAGTGGATAGTGAGAGAGAGAGACAGAGAGAAAAGTCTTCCTTTTGCCGTTGGTTTACCCTCCAATGGCCACCACGGCTGGCGCACTGCAGCTGGCGCACTGCGCTCATCCGAAGGCAGGAGCCAGGTGCTTCTCCTGGTCTCCCATGGGGTGCAGGGCCCAAGCACTTGGGCCATCCTCCACTGCACTCCTGGGCCACAGCAGAGAGCTGGCCTGGAAGAGGGGCAACCGGGACAGAATCCGGCACCCCAACCGGGACTAGAACCCGGTGTGCCGGCGCCGCTAGGTGGAGGATTAGCCTATTCAGCTGCGGCGCCGGCTATAAAAAGGTTTTGTATCTATCTACTTCTCCCTACTTCCTTCTTCACCCCACTTCAGTCCAGGTACTTTCACCCCTGACCTGAACTAACCTAATGGGCTCTCTTGTACTTCCTCTACTCCATTCTCCACAGAGCATCCAGAGTAAGTGTACACACATAAAGTATTCTTTGTCTATTTAGTTCAAATTTCAGCTCAAATATTACTTCCTCTGGAATGTACAGAAAAAATTGCTTGGAAACATACACACACTTTAATGTCTCTCATTGTATTTTCCCGTTTTAACACTTACCCACATTGCAATTTATTTTTGAAATAACTTAATAGTGGGCTGGCACTGTGGCACTGTTGGTTAATCCTCCACCTGCGGCACCGGCATACCATATGGGCACCAGTTCTAGTTCTGGCTGCTCCTCTTTCAATCTAGCTCTCTGCTGTGGCATGGGAAAGCAGTATAAGATGGCCCAGCCGGCACCACTGCTCACTAGGCTAATCCTCTGCCTGCAGCGCCGGCACCCCGGGGTTCTAGTCCCTGTTGGGGCACTGGATTATGTCCCGGCTGCTCCTCTTCCAGTCCAGCTCTCTGCTGTGGCCCGGGAAGGCAGTGGAGGATGGCCCAGGTCCTTGGGCCCTGCACCCAAATGGGAGACCAAGAGGAAGCACCTGGATCCTGGCTTTAGATCGACACAGCGTGCCGGCCTTAGTGGCCATTTTGGGGGTGAACCAATGGAAGGAAGACCTTTCTCTCTGTCTTTCTCTCACGGTCTAACTCTGCCTCTCAAATAAAAAAGAAGATGGCCCAAGTGCTTGGGCCCTGAACCCACATAGGAGACCAGGAAGCTGCACTTGTCTCCTGGCTTCAGATTGGTGCAGCTACGGCCGTTGCAGCCACCTGGGGAGTGAACCAGAGGACGGAAGACCACTCTGTCTGTCTGTATGTCTCTTTCTCTCTAACTCTTTCAAATAAATAAATCTTTAAGAAAAATAAATTAATAAAGTTTGTCTCTCTCACTGATCTGAATTTGTTCCCTATTATATATCAGTAGAATTGGCAGATAGCAGTTACTCCAAAAAAATTTGTCAAATCAATGTCAATTGTCAATAACAGTATTTTGTTAACACGTGGAACAGGAACTTCAAGAACTTCAAACAGGTACATATGCTGATGTTAACATTTTATTCTAATTCTCTTTTCTCTCTTTAACACAAGATTGTCCTGATTGCTGGTTCTTCATTGTGCATTTTATGAAAACACAAGTATGATAGGTATGTCTAAAGATTTCGTTCCTGGATTTCATAGTGTATTTGCTTAGCTTATATGTATGTCTGAAGACCCTAGTGAGGGACTTGGTGCAGAATGCTCCAAATTTTATGAAGAATAAATGATACTTTCTTTATATGTATATTATAAAAGGTAAGCAAGTTTTATAATTATGCAATTGAGATCTAGAAAATATTTTGCTACCTCAGACCCACTGGGCTTCACACATTACACATTACTTAAGTATGTCCCTGAAAACTGCACACACATCTACATACAGTAATTCTTACTTGTGAGGC